CTTATTGGGTCCAATGGACCCCTGCGATGTGGCATTACCAGTTTAAGCCTTGCCAAAATGTGGTCTTACTTTGGAGCAGTATTTCCCCTTCTTACCCACAAGCTAGCATGACCTGGTTTGACATGGACCAGTAACTCACAATAGCTTTAAAACTGATTCGCTAGAGCCTGAGATATTGAGAGGGTAAAGAGGGCTGGGGACAGATCCCTTTATTACTGACTTAAATTAAGACTTTCACTTATCCATGTCAATTACAATTCTAATTTGCATTGCAATTTACAGTTGTTGGTTGTTTTTTAAAATTCAATTAAGTCAACAAATCCGACTCATTCACCCTCTGTTTTACTTACTACAACCGTTAACTGTGTTAACAAGATTGTAAAAAGTTTGTGTTGTAAAACAACAAAGTCTGTTTCCTAATGACTTTTAAATACTTGTTAACTTCCCTTTTTATAATGCATCACACTTTCTCCTTTTTCTTCACGTCTCTTGGGATTGACCACAGCTGTATTAAGCCACAATGCACCCAGTCAGTTAACATGTGAGACAGCTTTCTTTTCCTCACTGTTCAATCACACGCATAAATGAAATCCTGACAAAGCGTTTTTAAACAGGCCTCAGACTTCTGTGTTAGCCACAATCGACCTGTACACTCCAGGTCAAAGGACAGAGTTTACCGAACCACATTTCTGTGAAAAGCTTCAGGGGCAATGTCCAGCCTGTTCTGGTTGGGGGGGAAGGAATGAAAGGGAGGATATTGTATCTCCATTTATGTGGCTTCCTGGGTCAGAGTTCAAAGATGAGAGGTCACTCCAGTTCAGAGGTTACGAGGTGAGGTACCATCCAAAGTGCTGAGCCAGTCAGCTAAGTTAAGGATGATGTTAACTGCCCAAACAAAAATAATGTCCTGAGCGGCCCTCGTGGTGCACTCACACAACAATAAACGAGGCAACATCAACTTTTTATGAATAGCACTTTGGCCAGGACTTTGATCAGACTTTTAACTGCTGTTGTACTCAAAATGCAAATTGCAGGTAACACCTTTTGTGAACAACAGCCTTGTAAAAGAAAACTATCCAATTTACCTGACTGACATGTTAAGTGCCGTCTCTGTTTATACTACTGACAATGAACTGAATTACTGCTGAAACACCTCGGCGGGGTTGCAGCAGGTTAGAAGGCTGGGTATCCAACTGGCTGTATACAAGTGGCCAATAACACAGCGTGATGTGATAGCAGAGCAGTGGGAGGGAGGAGGAGCTACTCACCACCCACACACACACACACACACACACACACACACACACACACACACACACACACACACACACACACACACACACACACACACACACACACACACACACACACACACACACACACACACACACACACACGCACACACACACACCACTACCCCCCATTCTAGATGTGAAAGGGAAACAGGGACAGGGAGGGGTAGAAGTAGGTTATGTTGTTGTGTTCTTATTCATGGGAACTCTGATGTTCTCCAGGTCCTTTGAGACATTTTGTTCAAGGCTATGTGGAAAACAGCGCCTGTGGGCCTGTGGACCTGATAGCACAGATTAGCACAAGATGTCAGAAAATAAAGAAATAAAAAGTACTTGGAAGCACAGTCATATGGGTTTAAACTGCTCATGACGACTGAAAACATGGAGTTATACTTCAAGTCATTTAACAATGGTGTATTGGCACATCTGCGGTATAAATGACACCCTACTTCACACTTTGGTGTCACGCGTTGACACCTGGGGGGTGCACCTCAATGACGGGTTTTACTTTACTTGGTCACTGTGTGCTGGGGCAGTTGATACATTCCTTTAACTTTCAAATATCAGTCAGTTCATTTCTTGGTCAACATTACAACTTGTCCCTATCTGTAAAGGTGTATCATTTATATAGGCAAAAACTCATCTGCGGTGTGGCGTTTCACACAACATGATTAATGTAATCGAATATTATTACTTGAGTGGAGAAGCGGAGAAGCGCAGCACAGTATGAGCCATGAAGCTACATTTGGGATGGACATTACTGTAGCAGAAAGCAGGAGGCACCTCTTGGACCTCATCCAAGGATAGGCCTAACACTGTATTAATGGATGCTGACTAATACCTCTTTTCCACTGAAAACCAGTTTGGTTCTAGTTCGTGCTGGGGCTTCTTTGAAAGAATAACTGGTTTCGCATTCCACCGCGATGCCTCATCATGACATCAACATTTATGTTGCTGATTTTCTCTGCGAAAACAGGAAAAAATTGGTTCGCAATCAGGCATTGGCTCCGAACTGGCCCTGGAACCACTTTGGTGGAAAAGGTGTATAAAAGATCGGTCGGAGCACTTCTTACCTCAGTCTTTGTGTAACTGGAGGCTATTTTTTCTCATCCACTCATCAATCAGGGTTAAGGAGTTATCAGTCTCCATTAAGGTTTTTGATTTTAGAATTGGTATTTGACTTTTCATCATGTGGGAACTTTAAACAAAGGTAGCTAACTAACAAATCACAAAAATATGCAGCCTTATTAGTTTGGTATTGCACCGCCACAAAGTTAAGTCTCATTCATAAAAACCATGAAAAATAGCTGTAGCTGAGGCTGAGATATTCTGATCTTTATTTTTCTTAAGGGTCACACTTTTCCCCTTATGCTGCTTATTAGCATCTTTGACCTTCTCCTGCCTGGTAAATGCTCACATTGCCCCAGTTTGAAACTCAGGATTTCTGTTTGAAATGTCATTATCTAATCACTGACGATATAACCCTGTAATGACAGGCTGATGTCTACATAAAACTGTTGGTGTAAACTCTGGTGACCCCCTTTGAGGTTCTGACATGCCAAGTCCATTATCCGCCCTCGGTCAATTTGGAGCCGATAATGACACAAGAGTCTGAATAGTTGGAACTAGTTCTTTGTTGTCAAGTTTGGAGAGTCAGGGCCTTTAAGTTATTTGGTGAAGTTCTCCTGATTTTACTATAAAGGAGTTTTGGACAATGTTTAACAAAAGTGCTTAATACAATACAATGCTATGACTGTGAAAGCTGCTGCTACTTTGTTCAAGGTTCAAGGTTCTTTATTGTCAAACTAACATAGCTACAGAGTAATTATGTTGTTGAAAATCTTATGTCACAGGCTTCTCCAACAATGCGACATAATAACAATACAGATAGCAAGAGCAATACAAAAAGAAAAATAGTTATAAAATAAAGTGAGCATGTGGAATAGTGCAGTACGAGTCTATATACAAGTTATTGGAATGATATATATTAGATATTAGATACATATTACTGAGTAGCAGATGAATGTTTTGAAGTTGTTTCAGCAGTTCAATTGTTTAACAGTCTCACTGCCCGCGGGAAGCAACTGTCTCCGAATCTTCTTGTCTTTGCCAGGATGCTGCGGTAACGTCTGCCAGACGGCAACAGAATGTGTGATGTGCAGACTGACTCTTTTTAAATAATTGGTTACATTTGAATGGTTCGGACCTTTCGAGTTTTGAATCTTTAGCATAATATAACATTAGTTTCTCCGTGACACTACAATAGTCCTTTTACACTTAACCGCTAGTGCGCTCGCCCCATATAACTTCTCTTCAATGCATTACCAGTCATCATGTATACTTTTACATTAGTAAAGAAATCACGTTACTTGTTTATTTCTTTGGTTGTTTGCTATTAAAAAAGGAATGTGTAGCCTCGCAGTGAATGCCCTGCAGTGAGAAAGCATGCTTATATATTTTAATTATTGAATTATTGCTGGCATACATTGTTTTACCTGGTGCGGGACACTAAATGGTTTGTTTAAATTGTTTCATTTGTTCATTTTTGCACATCACTACTGCCCAACACCACTACTCTTAAAGTCAGCAATACCCTCTTCACTGCAGGCAATGCCAACAGCCCTGTCCCTCGTATTGGTTTCTGCTGATGGTGGAACTATCACTTCCAATGCAATAAAACCACCTGTAGGACTGCACCTTAAAATAAAAAAATATATATAGTACTTCTGGATTATTTGAAGCTAATGTACTTGGAGGTTTCTTGCTGTACTGAGTTTGTATCCTCACTTGATTGCAATTATTGTCACATGACCAGTGGTAAAGGGCCCTGGGCTCTTATTGCCATTGTTTGCCTCAGGAAAGAGTAGGACCGCTGGACCAGGTAGAATCCCTAACATCATGTGGAGGCAGTTTGGATCAAATACAATGTAAAGTCATGTAATAATACTATTCAATCATCATGAAAAAGTTTAAAAATACAGTTATACTTTATAACAATAACATTAACATAAACAACAATTATTATGATCATTATGGTGATTATTATTATTATTATCATTATTGTTATTATTATAATTTATATTATTGTTAATATTACTACCATTGTTATTGTTATTATTATCATTAGTATTGGTATTATTATTATTATTTTCATTATTATTATTACTTTTGTTATTATTATTGTTATTATTGTTATAATTGTTATTATTATTGTTATTATTGTTATTATTATAATTATTGTTATTATTATTATCATTATATTATTGTTAATATTACTACAATTTTTATTGTTATTATTTTTATTATTATTGGTATTATTATTATTATTATTATTATTATTATTATTATTTTCATTATTATTATTATTACTGTTATTATTAGCCTATTAGTGTTATTATCATTATTAGTGTTATTATTATTGTTATTGGTATTTTTATTGGTATTATTATTTTCATAATTATTATAACTGTTGTTTTCACAAGTGTTATTAATATTATTGGTATTATTATTATTAATATTATTATTATTATTATTATTATTATTATTATTGTTGTTATCATCCCGTTATGTTTGCAAATTGCAGCAGCTGAGTGGAGGCATGTTCCTTTAAGGGTGGTGTCAGCAGCGCTGGGCGGAGGAGGCGGAGGAGGAGTGAGGCGGTCTCTGCTCTGCTCTGCTCTCAGCCCGGGGACTCCTAGAATAAACAGTTCCCACAGACTGCACGCTACACCTCCGCGAGAGCACAGTCGCAGCACAGAAAAAAAAACAACGAGGCATTTTTCGGACTTAAATTTTGATTTTCAAAGCCTGATTCGCCATTTTTTTTATTCCTACCAGAAGTGTCAAGACAGATGCGAGCGTTTTCATTGGATTTGCCTCCTCCTGTCGAATAATAGCGATGCGCCTCTCCGGCTGACTGTGGGTGGACACCGCAGGTAGGGGTCTACGTGCCACACATAAACGCACTGTCATATCTGTACAATTATTATAAACACCGGGGGGTGAAATATACACGCATACGGGACGCCATGTCGAGGATTATTCTAGATTATAACATGTTTTGTCGAGTGTCGTAAGGCTCGCATATGGATACAGCGCTGAAAACACTGCATAAACGCTGTAATAACAGCCACTGTCTGTGTTTCCTGGCTACCATATGACCGGTAAATTAGGCCCACTATAGAGGCATTTATCTGGGTCCAAATCTGATGCAATGAATACCAATTGTAGTGAATGTATCGTCATGTACGGAGCGTTCCAAAATGAAAGCGCCCTGTTAGTTCTCCGAGTGTATCTGAGGCTACTGTAGCGCTACTGTCACACTGAGCAAATAATACCAGCCCATGGCTTATTATTACCGAACAATACACCAGGCCTGTCTGTCCATGTCAAAGGGCCGGAGTGCAACGTTAGTTCAGTTAATGTGCTCAATCACATTGGGTCAAAACAGTAGACAGCCTCATATTTTGGAGTAGTTTTAGCACCACCAATGGGAAACACTCCACAGTTGCACTATTCTGTAAATTACATTTGGCAGGTCCTGCTCCTTAAAAAAGACCCAGAAGGGTTTTAAATTACCCCCAAGACCTTGGAAAGGACTTAGGTGTTGTTCTATGTTGAGCTTGAGATATAAATGGGTTTTCTGAGGTGTAAGAATGTAAATTTGTCCAGGGTAGGCCTCCATAGGATGGATACTTAATGTGGACCAGACCAAACATTTGGCCTGTTAATGCATCATAAACAGCCATGATCTGGATCCATGGTTTAGTTTATGAATCCCAATAATGGTCTTTTTGTTTTGCCTGAAACCACACACAGTATCCACTTGTCTGATACCACTGGCCTTTAACCAAAAGGGTTTCAGTCCAGTGTGCAGCGCTCTGTCAGATCACTGTGGCATCATGTCCGATATGTTTTGATGGTTGGATGTTTTCAGTAAGTGCCAGGGAGGAATCTTGTTGAGTGGCCTTTGCGTAGGTGTGGCTTTTCTCAAATGTCCTATTGCTTCATTGGACTTTGGATGAGCGTGGACGCAAAAGGTCAGGGGCTGAGGCTCGCTGCGAGTTACAGGAACGAGGGCAGAGAACTCCAGTTCAAGTTCCAAAAGGGCAACTTACAAAGCTTCCCAGCGGCAACCTGTTTGGATGTCGTAATATGAGGATAGAAAACACAACACACAGAGTTCAGTTACTGTGCTACCTTTCACAGAAGCACTGTCTGTAACTAAGACTAGAAGTCATAGCAACATGGAGAGAAGTCAAACTTTTTAAAGCCTTCTTAAATACTGTCTGTGTCTGGAGGACTGCCTTTTAGCCTTTCTTTTGTTGAGCATTTAAGCTGCTTAATTATTTGACCTGAACTTACACAAGATGTTCAAGGTAGTTCAGCGTGTCCTCTTTTGCCACAGATAACTAAAACCTGCACATTTATATCCCAACTTTAAAGTTTATGTTGGAGCACAGTGCGCTGTAACTCAAAGGAGCCTCTGTTGACCGGGCCATCTGCTGCTGAGTGATGTGCACTAACCTGCAGCAGAACCAGACCTGACATGTAAATGGGCAAATGCAAATGATGTGGAGGCGTCTGACTCAGTCACAAGACTGGACTCTGCACTCTGCTCTTATCCAGTGACGGCCGGCTTTAATGACAGCAAATCTTATCTGCCATCAAAACACCGCTGCTGCTGTATGAAAGGGTCATGTTTTGACGAGTGTGTTTACGTGTGCTCATCCACATGTGGAGGATATTTGTCATTATAGCATGAAATCACATTGCACTGAAAAAACTGAAACATTGACTTTAATTAAATGTATTATGTCAACAGATTTCACACAACTCTATTAGGTTAGTTGAAAGCAATAATATTAAGTTGAACCTAATATTTTTTATTTTAAATTAATATTATTGCTAACCTAATACAGTGTGTGAAATCTGTCAACGTTACAGTCCATTCCCTTTTTTAATCAATTGGAGGATTTTTCTACAGACACAGGAGTACCTGCCCAGGCACTTTTCTTTACTATCAATCTCTTCTACCACTGTGCCAACTCAAAGCCCCCCCTTTGTAAATGTGTCAGTCACTATAGCTTGAGACACAGTGCAGACAACACTTTTGGGTGGCATCCCACTTTTTCATAGCAGAGACTCGGGCAAAAAAACTAATGTGCAATCTACCAGAACAAGTGTCATGCATTTACTGCAGAGTTTCTGATTTATTATAGACCTGGGAGCTGCCCAGCACTTGTGTTGTTGGCCACCGAAAATGGTTCAAGGGCATTTTGACAGTAGATGTTGAGGAATAGAAGCATTTCTCATCCACTTACAGACTCTCAGCCCACTGAGGATTCAAACCAGAGACCTTTTGGCCACGAGCTCATTTCTCTAGTCTTTGTGTGCAGCATGCATTAAGCCTAATCATTTGATTGTTTGTGCATTCAGCAGACACTCTCTACTACTAAATACTGCTGCTGTTATTACTAAGGGGATCACACACACAATATATACATGAAAAACAGATTAAGGCATCATACACAACAGTTTTCATACCACACATAAGGCTAGGTTGCATAACATAAAAATAAATGGTCTTGAAATGGATATGAAGAAGACGAGGCTCACGTGTCAAGGCTTGAGCTATTAAAGTGTAAACAGAATGATGAAGCTAACAAAAGGATAACAAATGAACATATAAACACAGACATTAAAACTACCAATGCTCCACTATCCCGCCAACAGAGCCCCGTGCCCCCCCTGACATTTCAAAAAGAAAATATATATATATATATATATATATATATGTATATAATGTATATAGTACCAAATTGCAACTGAAGTAATCTATCTACGGTCACTTTTCACATTCAGATTTGACTCGGATAACGACTGACTTTCATTTTAAGTTGTGAGTTTAGTGTTTTTGACCCTAAGAAACACTGATGCGTTAATAAATAACAATAATCCACAGCTCCTCTCTCTGCTCTAGCACCCCCCCCCCCCCCCCCCCCCTAAAGCAGTACACCTCGGGGAAACACTGAACACTGTGTGGGCACTTTTCAAGTATTCCCACTGTTTGCTGCTTTTAAGAAAAGCTTTAGTAAGGGCTCTCGGTTCACTATCTCATTCAGAGACAATCATTCCTGTAGGTGCTTCTGTCGTCAACGGGAGGCAACCAAAGTCAATGGGACTCATTTTGATGACAAGGCAGGAACTGCTAAATGCGTCTTTACAGCCATCCCTCCTGGATGAGGGCTGGATTGACAAAATGTGAGGAAGAAAGATGGACGCCTCCGTTACAACCCCTGAGAGCTATACTAGCCCACGCTCATCTGTTGAATGACTCCCCTCCCGCCTCCTCCTCCTCCTCCTCCTCCTCCCTCTTCACCCTCACCCCCGACTCTCCACCCCTCTGCCTGCACCCGTCACCTTGGCCTTGGCGCAATGACAGGCCCCTCAATTATCTCCGCCGATTGATCGCTGCTGATTGCAATTGCCGTGAATTATTTAGACTTTGCTGAAATTACGCACTAGAGGGGAGATAAGAGGAAGATATCGCCGGTTCAATAAATTACATGTTACCCACATGAAGTATCGGCCTGTTTGGAAAACAACAGCTGTGTAAGCCTGACTGTCGCGATCAATGGAGAGGAGCAGGGAGACTGCATCAAGCAACCTGTTCCTCGGGCTACCAGCTCAACAGCCTTCCTCTTGTACATCGAGTAAAGACTTCTTCTTTATTAGGATCCCCATTAGAACTAGCATGAGCGTTGGCTGTTCTTCCTCGGGTCCTCACACACACTCAAACATACAGAAAACAAAACTGAAAACAGCTCATCATGCAATTCACAATTCAACATGAAGGGAAAACAAAAAGATCATCCTATTTTAACCATCATTAAGCCAAACTAAAATAATACAAATAAGTGTACATACCCACAGACACAGTTCAAGTATGCTTTTTGATACAGAGATACAAACTTTTGAAATGTAATTGGGAATTTTCCTGAATGATATTGACCGGCAATGAATTCCAGCTGACCATGGCTCTGGATATGACTCTTTTCTGTTTCATATTTGATCTAGTTTTGGGTAACTGAGATTAGGTGTGGAGTAAAAGACCTCCTGGCTGATGTGAGAGAATCTGACTGTTCCTGGTCACAGTGGAGGAGCCCGTCCTGTAGCAGAGCTGCGGCCCCCGGGCTGTGGAGGGGCCGTACGAAGGGTTCTTTACCTTTGTGGGGAGCCAGGATGCTGCAGTCAGACAGAGGGGAAGGTCTCTGCTTCACCACAGGCAGGCCAGTGTCACAGAGTGGGCGTTCTGCAGAGGGAATGAGGACAGACGCTCCTCGCTAGAAGGAAAACCCAGCTTGTGTGGTCATGTGATGAGCTTGTTTTCTAACGCTTGTCTGTATGTTCAGCTGCAACAGTCAGAGCCTGTATTTAATTAAGTCTGTGGTAATACATCAAGCCTGTGTCATGCCTCGCTCAAACAAAGCAGCTTCTGACCGGCCTCCAGACAAGGCCACTGCACCTTGAGTGATAAATGCTATTGCATTCAGTCCAAGAAGCCTTAAGCTTCTGTGACCTAACCAGCAGTAAAATGGCTCTCTGCTGACGTTGTGTTCCTTTAGAAAGAGTGGTGCTTCCCGATTTGAGGGAAGCACTACCCCCCCTTGTTGTGCACCGCTAAAAATGGTCACCAAGTGCTCCACTCAAAGGTCAAATTTCAACTTTGACCTAATTGCCGCTGACCTTTTGGCGCACAACCAATCAGATAACAGCTGTGCACGTTGACCTTAATTAAATGTAATATGTCAACAGATTTCACATCACTGTTTTAGGTTAGTTGAAAGCAATAATATTAAGTTTAAATAACAAATATTAGATTGAACTTCATATTATTGCTTTCAGCTAACCTAAAAACAGTTATTTGATATAA